CCATCACAGCGCTGTGCCTCACTGTAGCAGCGCTCACCTAGGCCTTCGCCAGCCCCCAGGCCAGAGCCTAAGCCACAGGGTCTATCCCAAGGCAAGCAGTAGCCCCGCACATGGTAAGTGGCATTGAAGCCACGACCATTGCTCCAAGCAACTGTGTGGTAGGACACAACAGCCTGGCCAGATAGTGTCTCCACAGTGACAGCCTTGCCATTGCTGAAGTGGGTGAGACTACGCAGTAGTCGGGAGCTCTCAGGGGGCCCAGGGCCATCAAACACATGCACTGCATCTCCAAAGCCCAAGTCCAGGGCTGTGAAGCGCACGGCCAGCCGCCGGCCATCATGGGGGTCCAGCAGCCAATGGCAGGACTGGGGGTGGGAGACTGAGGCAAGGTGTGCATATCCAGGGGAGGAGAAGACCCCATAGAAGTCCTCCAAGGTGAGATTGCAAGGCAGGGAGGGGATGGGCCTTGGGGTCAGGCCAGGGAAGGGGTCTGAGCTGCAACCTGCTTCATCAGAGCCATCGCCACAGGCATCAATCCCATCACAGCGCTGGACAGCAGATACACAGCGGTGGTTGAGGCACTGGAACTCTTCCTGCAGGCACATCAGCCAATCTGCAGAGGCACCATGGAGAGGGGCTGTGAAGCACCAGAGCCCTCAGGATCCTCCCCTCCTGCCTGGGGCTTTCACTGCCTACTCCTCAAACATCCCTGTCCAGCCTACCTTGGCTGTAGGAGAGCAGGAAGCCCTGGCCCATGGGTGCTCTGGCCCCAGCATAGCTGTAAGTGATGGTGACGTTGCCTCCGGGCAGCTGCAGAGGGCTGGGAGGTGCCTCACACAGGGAGATCGGTGGCTGGAGAGGGGAGCGTAGGGTTAAGTGCTCTGAGCCACAGGCCAGGTGTAGTTTCTGGAACCTATGGGAGTAGAGGAGAGCAGGACATGAGATGCTCTTGACTGCTGCTGGCTTTCTCCTCCCCCGGTGCCACCAGGCCCCTAGTATCCCAGGAAGCACAAACATCTGCTTCTCTGTGATCTAAATGGTCAAATAAAAACTCAGCCTATTTAGCCGGGCGAGGTGGCGGGTGCCTGTAGTCCCAGCTACTCGGGAGGCTGAGGCAGGAGAATGGCGTGAACCCGGGAGGCGGAGCTTGCAGTGAGCTGAGATCCGGCCACTGCACTCCAGCCTGGGTGACAGAGCGAGACTCCGTCTCAAAAAAAAAAAAAACAAAAAAAACAAAATATTCCAGCAAAAGAAAAATAATTGGCAAAGAGAACTGGGAACTAAATTGGCAACATGTTGATAATTTAAGTGGAGTGGTTTGTTCGTGGAGATTTATTGCTCTAATATTTCTACTTTTGTATGTGTTTGAAATTTCAATAATAAAATGTTTAAAATGAAAAAAAAAAAAAAAAAAAAACTCAGCCTATTTATTTATTTATTTATTTATTTTGAGACGGAGTCTCGCTCTGTTGCCCAGGCTGGAGTGCAGTGGCGCGATCTCGGCTCACTGCAAGCTCCGCCTCCCGGGTTCATGCCATTCTCCTGCCTCAGCCTCCTAAGTAGCTGGGACTACAGGCGCCCGCCACCATGCCCGGCTAATTTTTTGTATTTTTAGTAGAGACGGGGTTTCACCGTGGTCTCGATCTCCTGACCTTGTGATCCGCCCGCCTCGGCCTCCCAAAGTGCTGGGATTACAGGTGTGAGCCACTGCGCCCGGCCTATTTATTTATTTAGAGACAGAGTTTCGCTCTTGTCACCCAGGCTAGAGTGCAATGGCGTGATCTCGGGTCACTGCAACCTCCACCTCTTGGGTTCAAGCAAGTCTCTTGCCTCAACCTCCCAAGTAGCTGGGATTACAGGTGCCCGCCACCACACCTGGCTAATTTTGTATTTTTCATAGAGACGGGGTTTCACCGTGTTGGTCAGGCTGGTCTCGAACTCCTGGCTTCAGGTGATCTGCCTGCCTCAGTCTCCCAAAGTGCTGGGATTACTGGTGTGAGCCACTGCGTCTGGCAGCCAAATTATTTTTAAGTCAATGTAATCAATGGGGATCTTCCTAACATGGGCTGGTATCACCATAAGACCATAAGATATATCCTAGAGCCCTTTGGAAAAACTGACTTGTGTTCCGGGACTGAGTTAAGAAGAGGTGCACTGCATTCCAGTTGTTGTAGCACTGTCACCCAAGTATGGTACCAGCAGTAGCTGGTGATTACCATACAGTTCAATTAACCAGAACTCACCATCTTACCCTACCCCATTGTGCCAGATGTGAGACGTGGGTTGGTTTTCCACGGCATTCTGATCCCTTTGCCCTGCCAGCCTCTCCACAGTTTGCCTCTCTCTTTGTCTACCTCTTTCTGGGTGAATTTATGGAAAATGAACTATGTGAGGCAAATAGCCAGGTACTCAATATGATCCCCAAACAATGATCCAAGGTCAGGGGAGCCTGGGGAAACTTGGAATGTTTAAAAGATCCAGAGAGGCTGAGGAATGTTCTAGGCTGATTAAGGAGTAGTTCGGAATCTCACACAGGACATGCAATGAATGGAAGGACTCCTCAGAACAGTTCTATCTGAGCTGAGGACCGTTTGTAGAGTGGCCTCTGTCCTTTGGAGATGCCCAGGACCCAAGCTAGATGTCCACTCCAGCCCAGCTCCACTTCAGTTCATTAAGTCTGGCCCAGAAAAAGTCAGGCTTTTAGGGCACACTAGGCCAAATCAAATTCTACTCTTTCCCTGTTGACAAGGATGGAAATTCCATAGAGAAGTGATCCCTGAATGGGCCAGGCCCAGTGGCTCACGCCTTTAATCCCAGCACTTTGGGAGGTCGAGGCAGGTGGATCACTTGAGGTCAGGAGTTCAAGACCAGCCTGGCCAATGTGGTGAAACCCTGTCTCTACTAAAAATACAAAAAAAATTAGCTGGGCGTGGTGGCAGGCACCTGCAATCCCAGCTGCTCAGGAGGCCAAGGCAGGAGAATCACTTGAACCCAGGAGGTGGAGGTTGCAGTGAGCTGAGATTGTGCCCTTGTACTCCAGCCTGGGTGACAAGAGTGAAACTCTGTCTCAAAAAAAAAAAAAAAAAAAAAAGGGAAAGAAATGTACCTGAAGACTTCCAATGGAGGGGAAGGGGCAAGGGAGAAGAATGGGTTCTTGTTCTTGCTCCGCTTCTCACCTGATGGTGACAGTCTGTTCCTTGCTGCCCAGGATGAGCCAGGTGCAGTTGGCAGGGGAGCTGCGGCTGTCCCGGACCAGGGGCCTCTGTAAGGTGCCTTGCACTTCTAAGAGCACTGCTGGGGGGTCCTCACAAGCTGGAGAGAGGAAGGTAGGACACTGGTAGTAGACAGCCCTTAGCATCTCACCCTTCCGCTTCCGCTTGGAGGCTTGAGGTTTCCAAAAGTCTGGGCTCTGCAAGGAGGAGCAAAGTATCTGCCCCTGCCCACACACATCCTAGAGTTACAGCCCTCTGGCTTCGCTCTTTCTCTCCACATTCTTCATAGCTTCACCAGTTAATACTAATACCACGAACAATTCTGAAGTCTGCCTTGTGCCAGTCACTGAACCAGGAGAAGCAGGAAATACTACCTCTACCCTCAGGGAGACTACATCCTGGTTAGGACGATCAAGCATAGATATTCCCAGAAAAAATAAAATAGTACATAGCAACTACCAGATGAAGGTCCACACCGAGCCTTATTTTCATCTATAAAATAAAGGCTAAATGATCTCTCCTCTAAAACTGTGGTAGGTCCCATGGAATTGAGGGAACAGAGCGTCCTTCTCGAGTGCCCCCACATTCCCAAGCCCACGGAGCCCCAGAGGTTCCCTCAACTCACCAAGATTTGGGAAAATAATCCGGTCTGGATGGGCCAGAGCGCCTCCTAGAGGAGGAACGAGAAAGGGCAGGAGAGTGAGACACCCCTTAGGAGTTTTCTTCACCTGAGCAACTCAAGGAAGCCATCCGGGACTTCCGGGCAGTTAATAGGAAGAGGGAGTCGGGGGTGGGAGAAGGCTGCGGCGTGGGACTTCCATGGAAGGAAGGTCCGACAGCAGGGCCTGTGGGGTTGGTGGGGTGATCTGGCGAAAGCCGGAGAGAGGACGAGGGCCCAGCGGAGCGGCTGAAGACTTCCTGGGGGTTGGGGCCGGCAGTGCTGGGGGTGGTGGCAGGGGCTGGAGGGAATGGGCAGGCAGGATGGAGTGCGGGGCCGCACTGGAGGGAGTTAGAGCTGCTGGCCCGGTGACAGAAGGCTGGGGGGTGGTCTCGTTTCGGCTCTTACCAAGGAGGAGGAGGAGGAGGAGGGTGGCCAACAGCATCCTGGGCTGTCCAGAGGTGCCGGAAGGGTGCCGGAGCTTCTGTAGTCTACCCGATGGGGTCGCGGCGGAGCCCCGGCCGCCCAGGCTCTCGGGTGCCGCCTCCCCAAGGGGGCTCCATGGCCCGGGCTCGACTGGTGCTCTGGATGCCAGGGCTGGGGGCGGGGAATCAGCGGCAGCCGGGGAGTAGGGGCGGTGCCTTTCGCCAACTTTGGAGTTGTTTTCTCCGGCGGCCGCCGCCGCACTCTTTCTCCCAGGGCTGGCTCCTGAAGTCCCGGATCTCGGCACTGGGTCGCGCCCTCACCTACAGCCCGCCCGCAGGCCGCGAGCGCCCCTGGCCTGGCCTGGCCGCCACCTGCCGGGGTTTGAGACCACTTCCTCTTCGGGCCAAACTTTGCCGACTTTCAGCCCCTAGGGCCGGCTGGGTGCTGCTCCACTCCTCTAGCGCTTGCAGCCCGCGGAACGCGACAGGGAAGCGGGGGAGGGGCAGAGGTGGCTCGGCCCGGCGCTCCGGCCCTTGCCCAGGAGGTACCCCCGCCCGCCCAGGGGTTGGAGTAGCCTGGGCGGGTGACGAGCCCGGTCCCACCCCTGCCAATCAACGAGCGGGCCACACCCACTTGCTCGCCTTAACCCCTTTCCGGCTCTGCCGGACTTGTCAGACGGGCCCTTGACTGGCAGCTTCAGCTTCCGCATTTAACCCTGCTTTGTTTAATCCTTGGGGTGTAACACGTTTGTCAGACGTTTGTCAAAGGACGTCTGCTTATTCCATAACTGTGATGTCTTTCCTTTGGGCCCTAAGCTCTCAGTACTTTTCTTGTCCCGGGGTCTGAGATCCGGCAGCACTTTTTGGAGTGAGACTTTATTACAGCTATTACCACACGGTATGGTAACTATTTGTTCGTCATTCCCGCCCCCGTCCCGCCCCTTCTCTGCAAACAAACTTCCCGTAGGCTGGGGCCTAGACTGTTTACCTTTGCACCTACAGGGCTTCTCTCCTGCTGAGACACAGGAAGAACTCAATAAATGGTAAATAAACGAATAAGTACTCCTTCTCCATTTGCTGGCTCTGACCTCCAGAAAATTACTTAACCTCTCCGTTCTTCTCAGGTATAAAATGAGGTTTATGATAGTGCAACTTCCTCTTAGGGTTGTTGCTAACATTTAAGGAGAGCAAGTTGCCTGACATACGGGAAGTGCTCCATATCGGGTAGCAACTATTATTATCAGTCACAGAAGGTATTTCTAATTTGTGTGAGCTGGGGGTTACCGATTTCCTGTGGCACTGATAGATAACATTAATAAACAATATTGAAGCTCAGAATTTTCAGTGAAAAATAAACAACAAATAGCAAACAATTTTAGATTTTTCCACTTTTCAGGCACAGATCTAAGTAAGCACTCTACTAAATACTTAGGAACTACTTTAGTATATACTAAATACGTTAAAACTTTACAAGTATTTGCGGGTTTAATTCTCTCAACAACAGTGTGAGGTAGATACTATTGTTACTTCCAATTTCCAAGGTATTCCAAGAAATGCAGGCACAGAAAAATTAAGTATTTTGCCCAAGATGTAATACAGTGGGCCCTCCATATCTTGGGTTCTGCATTCGCAGATTTAACTGATCGTAGACAGAAAATATTGTCAAGGGTGGGATTGGGGGAATTGAGTGGAATTGCATCTGTTTTTTTGTTTGTTTGTTTGTTAGTTTTTTGAGACGGAGTCTTGCTCTGTCGCCCAGGCTGGAGCGCAGTGGCGCAATCTCCTCTCACTGCAACCACCACCTCCTGCCTCCCGCATTCAAGCAGTTCTTCTGCCTCAGCCTCCCCAGTAGCTGGGATTACAGGTGCCCGCCGCCGCCATGCCCGGCTAATTTCTGTATTTTGAGTAGAGCCGGGTTTCACCATGTTGGCCAAGCTGGTCTCCAACACCTGACCTCAGGTGATCCATCCGCCTTGGCCTGCCAAAGTGCTGGGATTACAAGCATGAGCCACTGCGCCTGGCCATGAAGCTAGGGTTTGAACCCGGGCAGTCTGACTCTGGATAGAGTCCACATTCTGATCTTAACCACTTTCTCTCTTCTACAAATGATATAAAATTGTTTTGTTTTGTTTTGTTTGTTTGTTTGTTTTTGAGACAGAGTTTCACTCTTGTTGCCAGGCTGGAGTTTAGTGACTACCATCTAGGCTCACTGCAACCTTCACCTCCTGGGTTCAGGCGATTCTTATGCCTCAGCCTCCTGAGTAGCTGGGATTACAGGCATGGGCCACCATGCCCAGCTAATTTTTATATTTTTAATAGAGATGGGGTTTCACCATGTTGGCCAGGCTGGTCACAAACTCCTGACTTCAGGTGATCTACTCGCTTACAGGCGTTAGCCACTGCACCCAGCAATTTTAATTTTTAATTTTAATTATTTTTTGAGACAGGGTCTCACTCTACAAAATTGTGTAGTGGCACAATTTTGGCTTACTGCAACCTTAACTTCCTGGGCTCAGGTGATCCTCCCACCTCAGCCTCATGAGTATACACACCTGTGTCACCATGCCGGGCTAATTTTCTTTTTTTTTTTTTTTTTTGAGACGGAGTCTTGCTCTGTCGCCCAGGCTAGAGTGCGGTGGCACGATCTCGGCTCACTGCAACCTCAGTCTCCTGGGTTCAAGTGATTCTCCTGCCTCAGTCTCCCAAGTATCTGGGACTACAGGCATGTGCCACCATGCCGGCTAATTTTTTGTATTTTTAGTAGAGATGGGGTTTCACTGTGTTAGACAGGATGGTCTCAATCTCCTGACTTTGTGATCTGCCTGCCTCGGCCTCCCAAAGTGCTGGGATTCAGGCGTGAGCCACTGTCCCCAGCCTAATTTTTGTATCTTTTGTGGAGATGGGGTTTCACTATGTTACCCAGGCTGGTCTTCAACACCCGGGCCAAGTGATCCTCCTGCTTCGGCCTCCCAAAGTGCTGGGATTATAGGCATGAGACACTTCACTCAGCCTATTTATTTATTTATTTATATTTAATTTTATTTTTTTGAGACAGAGTCTCACTTCATTGCCCAGGCTAGAGTGCAGTGGCACAATGTTAGCTCACTGTAACCTCCACCTCCCCGGCTCAAGTGATTCTCATGCCTCAGCCTCCCAAGTAGCTGGGATTACAGGCGCCTGCCACCATGCCTGGAAAATTTTTGTATTTTTAGTAGAGACAGGGTTTTGCCATGTTGACCAGGCTGGTCTTGAACTCCTTACCTCAAGTGATCCACCTGCCTCGGCCTCCCAAAGTGCTGGGATTACAGGCATGAACCACTGCACTCAGCCCTATTATTTTTATTTTATTTTATTTGAGATGGAGTTTCGCTCTTGTTGCCCAGGCTAGAGTGCAATGGTGCGACCTCAGCTCACCACAGCCTCCCCCTCCTGGGTTCACGCAATTCTCCTGCCTCAGCCTCCTGAGTAGCTGGGATTACAGGCATGCGCCACCACGCCCAGCTAAATTTTTTTTTTGAGACAAGAGTCTGGCTCTGTCATCCAGGCTGGAGTGCAGTGGCGCGATCTCAGTTCACTGCAAGCTCCGCCTCCTGGGTTCATACCATTCGCCTGCCTCAGCCTCCCGAGTAGCTGGGACTACAGGCATCCGCCACCATGACCGGCTAATTTTTTGTATGTTTTTTAGTAGAGGCAGGGTTTCACCGCGTTGGCCAGGATGGTCTCGATCACCTGACCTCGTGATTCACTCGCCTTGGCCTCCCAAAAGTGCTGGGATTACAGGCGTGAGTCACCGTGCCTGGCCTAATTTTTATATTTTTAGTAGAGACAGGGTTTCTCCATGTTGGTCAGCCTGGTCTCGAACTCCTGACTTTAGGTGATCCGCGTCTCAGCCTCCCAAATTGCTGGGATTATAGCCGTGAGGCACTGTGCCCGGCCGGCCCTATTATATTTAAAGGCTAATCAAATAAGCAGTGGGAGTGGAAAAGGGATAAAGAAATCTGTAACTGATTGTGATCAACTAGTTGTAAACACCACTGTAACAGACCAGTCAGAACAGTTTTCTTTTTTGTTTGATTGTTTTTTGCTGTTTTTTGAGACAGGGTCTCACTCTGTCGCCCAGGCTGGGGTGCAGTGGCACGATCTCGGCTCACTGCAACCTCCACCTCCTGGGTTAAAGCGATTCTCCCACCTCAGCCTCCCAAGTAACTAGGATTACAGGCGCGTGCCACCATGCCCAGCTAATATTTGTATTTTTTGGTAGAGACGGAGTTTCACCATGTTGGCCAGGCTGGTCTCGAACTCCTGACCTCTGGTGATCCACCTGCATCGGCCTCCCAAAGTGCTGGAGTTACAGGTGTGAGCCACCGCACCCAGCCTCAGAAGGGTTTTCTATTAATAACATTTATTGTTGTAGGGCTTCAGTGGGCCTGATACCATAGAGTTGGCCATAAAAAGGCTCTTCTTCCACTTGGACCTTGGTCCCACGTCCTAACTCTCTCTGTGCTCCCAGGATTAATGAGAAGATTGAATAGAACCGTGAAGGTGGAAGCCAGGGATTTTTAATACCTTCAGGGATCCTTGATATCTTCAGGGATCCTGAAACTAATCTCTTGAATCTCCTGCAGATTCGGATTGGGATAACTATAAATGACAAGCCCAGGAGTTTGAGACAAGCCTGGAAAACACAGTAGGACCCCGTCTCTACAAAAAGTACAAAAATTAACTGGGTGTGATGGTGTGTACCTGTAGTCTCAGCTACTTGGGAAGCTGAGGTGGGAGGGTTGCTTGAACCCATGAGGTTGAGGCTGTGGTAAGCCGAGACTGCACCACTGCACTCCAGCCTGGTAAATAGAGCGAGACCCCATTAAAAAAAAAAAAAAAAGAAGAAGAAGAAGAAAAGAAAAGAAAAAGAAAAAGAACCCTGAAGGTGAGAGGCAGATGCAAAAGGAAGCAGGACAAGGAGGTTGGGGAGTTTGAAAATATTTAGGTCCTAAAAGTGGACGGAAGTTTCACCTGAGCGCTGGCTGTATTCTTGTTGGATGCCTGGAATTCCTAAGACTTCACTTTAGCTTCAAGGAGCTTACAGTCTAGTTGGAAAGAGAGGTCAGATACATAAATTGATAATGCCAGACAGCCATGGGGAGTGTCCATGGGAATGAGCATCGCAGGGAGTAGGAGTCTGGAAAGGAAGCAGGAAAGGTGGTAGTGAGATGGGAAGAGTTATGGGGGTGAAGAAAGGGGGAAGAGAACCCATGGTCTGGAATGTTGAATAAACTAAAATTTGCAGAAAATAGTCAAGACCTATGCTGTTGGGGATAATCATCATCAGGAAGAAATGGCACCAGGGTAGAACAAACTTTCATTCTGTAAATATTTAAGTGCCTTCCAAGTACAAGACACTGTGGCAGACACTGGGAGTTAATATTCAAGAGTGAATGCAAACCAAAAAAAAAAAAAAAGATGAGGGAAAAATTCAAGATGACCTAGGCCTTTATAATGAGTTTAAGCTTTTTTTTTTTTTTTTTTTTTGAGACGGAGTCTCGCTCTGTCGCCCAGGCTGGGGTGCAGTGGCGCGATCTCAGCTCACTGCAAGCTCCGCCTCCAGGGTTCACGCCATTCTCTTGCCTCAGCCTCCCAAGTAGCTGGGACTACAGGTGCCCACCACCGCGCCCGGCTAATTTTTTGCATTTTTAGTAGAGATGGGGTTTCACTGTGTTAGCCAGGATGGTCTCGATCTCCTGACCTCGTGATCCACCTGCCTCAGCCTCCCAAAGTGCTGGGATTACAGGCGTGAGCCACTGCGCCCGGCCCGAGTGTAAGCTTTAATTAGCTTAGTGAGTTTCAGTGTTCAGTCCCATAAAAATCATATCCTAAATGATCAAGTACCTTTGGGAATGGGACTGTGGAAATATTCTTGGAAATCTTTGAGGAACTATGAAAAATAGTGAAAGTAATGGGAAATGGACAGATGTTAATTTTTTTTTTGAGACGGAGTCTCACTCTGTCGCCTGGGCTGGATGGAGTGCAGTGGCCGGATCTCAGCTCACTGCAAGCTCTGCCTCCCGGTTTACGCCATTCTCCTGCCTCAGCCTCCTGAGTAGCTGGGACTACAGGTGCCCGCCACCTCGCCTGGCTAGCTTTTTTTTTGTATTTTTTAGTAGAGACGGGGTTTCATCGTGTTAGCCAGGATGGTCTCGATCTCCTGACCTCGTGATCCGTGCGTCTCAGCCTCCCAAAGTGCTGGGATTACAGGCTTGAGCCACCGCGCCCGGCCCAGATGTTTATTTTTAAATTTTTATTTATTTATTTGTAGATATGGGCTCTTGATATGTTACCCAAGCTGGTCTCAAACTGCTGGCCTCTAGCCATCCTCCTGCCTTGGCCTCCCAAAGGGCTGGGATTATAGGCGTGAGCCACCATGCCTGGCTGATGTTTAGTTTTTAAGATGATAATATCTAACTTTTATAGAGGACTCACCACATCAGGCACGGTTCTAAGCACTTCACATTACATCATCTCATTTAATCCTGACCACACTAGGAAGTAGGTGTTATTTTTTGTCCTCATTTTTTAATTGAGGAAATTGAGTCACAGACAGTTTGACACTTTGCTCAAGATCAAACTACTAGCATGTGCAAGAGCCAAGACGTAAGTCAAGTTGTCTGAATCAGAATCCTAGGTGTTAAACATGGTAGATTCTAGAATCTTCAGAGCAAGGAATTTAACACCTGACTAATTTCTAGAATGGATGCTAGTCATTTACTTGTCTGTGTTCAGATTAATCCTGCTGCCTCTTCCTGCAAACTACACTTTTCAGGCTCTCTGGCCAAGTGACTTTGGGCTAGGTTCAGCCAGCAGGAGGCACTAGTGGGAGACTGGAGGGGAGGCAGGGAAGGAGGACCCAGGGCGGGCCCCATCCCCTCTGCCTCAGCTTTGTCTTTAGCAGCAGCTGCGCTTCTTCCATGGTTCTAGTTCCCACTGGGTAGCCTGGCTTGTTAGGTGCTGGTGACACCACCTTCTCCCTTTGTTCCTCCAGCTTCCTGCTGTTGCTTATCTCTGGGCTACCTCACCATCTCCTTTCAGACTTTTAGCAATTTCATCATATTTTTCTAGTTCTTTGTTAAATTTCCTCTACTGAATTAACTGTTACGGACTGTTTACCTGACCAGATTCTGACCCATGGAGGTAATCATCAGTAGTACCTGGCATAGTTCACCGACTAGACACATCATTCTAAAATCATTCTTAGCTGAGGGTGGTGTCCCACGCCGGTAATCCCAATACTATAGGAGGCCAAGGTGGGAGGATTGTTTGAGCCCAGGAGTTTGAGACCAGCCTGGCAACATAAGGAGACCCCATCTTTACAAAAAACAAAAATAAATTAGCTGGGCATGGTGGCATATGCCTGTGATCTCAGCTACTTGGGAAGCTGAGGTGGGAGGATCACTTGAACCCAGGAGGTCGAGGTTACAGTGAGCTGTGATCCCAGCACCTCACTCTAACCTGGGTGCATTCCCTGTCTCAAAAAGAAAAAATTAATTAATTAAAAATAAAAATCGACTGGGTGCGGTGGCTCATGCCTGTAATCCCAACACTTTGGGAGGGCAAGGCAGGCAGATCATGAGGTCAGGAGTTCAAGACCAGCCTGGCCAAAATGGTGAAACCCTATCTCTACTAAAAATATAAAAATTAGCTGGCCAGGTGTGGTGGATCATGCCTGTAATCCCAGCACTTTGGGAGGCTGAGGTGGTCGGATCACTTGAGGTCAGGAGTTGGAGACCTGCTTGGCCAGCATGGTAAAACCCTGTCTCTACTAAAAATACAAAAAAATTAGCCAGGCACGGTGGCAGGTGCCTGTAATTCCAGCTACTCGGGAGACTGAGGCAGGAGAATTGCTTAAACCCAGGAGGCAGAATTTGCGGTGAGCCAAGATCGTGCCCTTGCACTCCAGCCTGGGCGACAAGAGTGAAACTCCGTCTCAAAAAAAAAAAAAAAACAACAACAGGCTAGGCATGGTGGCTCACAGCGGTAATCCCAGCACTTTGGGAGGCTGAGGTGGGTGGATCACCTGAGGTCAGGAGTTTGAGACCAGCCTGGCCAATATGGTGAAACCCCGTCTCTACTAAAACTACAAAAATTAGCTGGGTGTGGTGGTGGGCGCCTGTAATCCCAGCTACTCGGGAATCAGGCATGAGAATCGCTTGAACCTGGGAGGCGGAGGTTGCAGTGAGCCAAGATCGTGCCACTGCACTCCAGCCTGGCGACAGAGTGAGACTCTGTTTCAAAACAAACAAGCAAACAAACAACACCAAAAGTCAGCTGGGCGTGGTGGCGGGCACCTGTAGTCCCACCTACTCGGGAGGCTGAGGCAGGAGAATTGCTTGAACCTGGGAGGCGGAGATTGCAGTGAGCCAAGATCGCGCCATTGCACGCCAACCTGGGCAACACAGCAAGACTCCATCTCAAAAAAAAAAAAATAAATAAAAAGTAAAAAAAAAAAATAAAAATACAAATCAATCTCTTTTTTGGGAGTATTACTTAGTACCATAAACAGACTATCTAGATTTAAGCCAATAGGAAAATATGGACTGAATGATAATACGACTAGTACCCTCAAGTTGAAATAGGTATTCATAATGCACACATCAAAACTGATGTCAGCCTGGAGAGTCCCAGTCAACATATACGAAAATTAATTAAGGCCAGGCACAGTGGCTCACGCCTATAATCCCAACACTTTGGGAGGCTGAGGTGGGCAGATTGCTCGAGCTCAGGAATTTGAGACCAGCTTGTACAAAATGGTGAAACCCAATCTCTACAAAACATATAAAAATTTGCCACTGCTCTCCAGACTGGGTGACAGAGTGAGACCTTGTCTTAAAAAAAAAAAAAAAAATTATTTATATGAAGATGTAGAATAAGAGTTAATTAGATTCTAAGATGACATGAATTGGAATTGGGAGCTAGAAGATAAAATAAGGAATCTAAAGATTTTGACAACCTAGGATGATGAATCTGAGAGATCTACAATGACAGAGGAGATAAAAATGCAAAATCCTACAACTTAGGTAAAAAACATCAACTTACAGAAAGGACAGGTGGCTTAATTATTGTTTATGTAAAGTGGAATTAAGCCCAGATACTTGGGAGGCTGAGGTGGGAGAATTTCTTGAGCCCAGAAGTTTGAGTCCAGCCAGGGCAACATAACAAGACCCCTTCTTTAAAAATAAAAACTAGGAGCTGGGCGTGGTGGCTCACACTTGTAATCTCAACGCTTTGGGAGGCTGAGGCAGGCGGATCACTTAAGGTCAGGAGTTCAAGACCAGCCTGTCCAACATGGTGAAACCCCATTTCTACTAAAAATGCAAAAATGAACTGGGTGTGGTGGTGCGTGCCTGTAATCCCAGCTACTTGGGAGGCTGAGGCAGGAGAATTGCTTGAACCTGGGAGGTGGAGGTTGCAGTGAGCTGAGATTGCGCCATTGCGCTCTAGCCTGGGCAATAAGAGTGAAACTCCATCTCAAAAATAAATAAATAAAATAAAATAACAAAATAAAAAATAAAAATTAGGGACCAGGCACAGTGGTTCATGCCTGTAATCCCAGCACTTTGGGAGGCCAAGGTCAGAGCACTGCTTGAAGCCAGGAGTTTGAGACCAGCTTAGGCAATATAGCAAGACCCTGTCTTTACAAAAAATAAAAATACAAATAAATTTAATTGACAAATTAGAGATTTCTGCTGATGTTGAATGAATAGCATGGCATGGTTGCATAAAAGCTAACATACTAGAGAAGCAGAACTGGCCAGTACTGCCATTTATCAGCTGAATGAACTTGGCAAGTTTTCAGTTTTCTATGCCCAATTTTCTCCATGTATAAAATAAGGATGATGCTAATGTTAGTGTTTTAATTATCTATGGCTGCATAGCAAATTGCCCCAAAATTTAGGGCTTAAAACAGTGACCATTTATTTTCTCACAGGTTTTGTGTGTCAGTAATTGAGAAGTAACTTAGCTGGGTGATTCCAGCTTGGTGTTTCTCATGAAGGTGCAGTCATCTGAAGACTCAACTGGGGCTGAAGGATCCATTTCCAAGATGGCTGACTTACATGTCTGGCAAGTAGGTAGTGGCTGTTGGCAAGAGGCCTCAGTTCCTCCCCATATGGGCATCTCCATAAGCTGTTTGAGTGTCCTCATACCATGGCAGCTGGCTTCCCCCAGAATGGGCAGTGTAAGAGAGAGCAAGGCAGAAGTCACAATGCTTTTAACACTCAGTCTCAGAAAGCACACCCCATCATTTCTGCAATATCCCTTAGTAACACAGGTCCACCCTATGTATTGTAGGAGGAGATTACACAAGAGCACAGATATTGGCAGGTAAAGATCATTGACATCCATCCTGAATGCTGGCTATGCTAGTCTACACTAGTCTACACTGTGGCTCCCAAAGGTTCATGTCCTTCACAAATGCAAATCTGTTTAACCCTCCCAAGGGACTCAAAAGTCTCATCCCATTACAAAACCAGCTTGAAGTCCAGAATCTTGTCATCTAAAACAGGCCTCCAGGTGAAGTTCTTCTGGACTAGTTCCTATGAACAGCTTGAGTAGCTCTTCTTGATCTGATGACCTATGAGCTAAAAAGAGAACTTATATTTTCCGTCCTACTCCTCCATCACCAACATACAATGATGAGATGTGGGAAAAGCATAGGATTACCTCGACAGATATTTCTATTCACAAAAAGAGAGTGGTCCGCTGGGCATGGTGGCTTACACCTGTAATCCCAGAACTTTGGGAGGCTGAGGTGGGCAGATCACCTGAGGTCAGGAGATCGAAACCATCCTGGCTAACGTGGTGAAAACCCATCTCTACTAAAAACACACAAAAAATTAGCTGGGTGTGGAGGCAGGTGCCTATAGTCCCAGCTCCTTGGGAGGCTGAGGCAGGTGAATGGTGTGAACCTGGAAGGCAGAGCTTTCAGTAATCTGAGACTGCACCACTGCACTCCAGCCTGGGCAACAGAGCGAGACTCCGTCTCAAAAAAAAAAAAAAAAAAAAAAAAAAAAAAAAAAAAAAAAAAAGGTCCCTGGTGGCAGGGGGAAAAAGGGATAAATAAATATAGGAAGTAGTCACTATTCTATAGAAATTCTAAAATACTGAAGGATACAGGTTGGCTGTTCCTTGAGTAGAGCTCAGAGCCTGAGCATAATTTCTCATAGCTTTTGGCTCCAGCTTTGGGCTCTTTGTGCTCTGCCCTCTGAGCCACCTTTCCTTTTCATAGAAAGGCTCATGCTTGCAGCTGTGTTGTTTTCTCAGCCTGCTTTTGCTGTAGAAGTGTGGGGGTCAAGACTGGGCATGGTGGCTCGTGCCTGTAATCCCAGCACTATGGGAGGCTGAGTCAGGTGGATTTCTTGAGGTCAGGAGTTTGAGACCAGCCTGAGCAACATGGTGAAACCCCGTCTCTACTAAAAATACAAAAATGAGCCAGGTGTGGTGGCACACGCCTGTAATCACAGCTACTGGGGAGTCTGAGGTGGCAGAGTCACTTGAACCCAGGAGGTGGAGGCTGCTGTGAGCTGAGATCATGCCACTGCACTCCAGCCTGGGTGACAAGGTGAGACTCCACCTCAAAAAAAAAAGTTTGGGGGTCCAAAAACTTCTTCTTATATATTGCCTCTATCTGTTTCAATACAAGCTGGTAGCGTTTCTGCCAATACAATTTTCTTAAAACTTTTGTGACTCTCCAGTGAATCTTATTGGGGTTCACTCAATTAGATAAAAGTCATACTTACAAATCTCTTTGAGATAAACTCTTTTCTACCTCAGGCTTCAGTTTAGACTGGTGAGGGGCAACACTCATAAGCTTCTTTTTTTTTTTTTTTTATGGAGTCTCGCTCTGTCACCCAGGCTGGAGTGCAGTGGTGTGATCTTGGCTCACTTCAACCTCTGCCTCCTGGGTTCAAGTGATTCTCCTGCCTCAGCCTCCTGAGTAGCTGGGACTACCAGTACATGCCACTACGCCTGGCTAATTTTTGTATTTTTAGTAGAGATGGGGTTTCATCATATTGGCCAGGCTGGTCTCGAACTCCTGACCTTGTGATCCACCTGTCTCGGCCTCCCGAAGTGCTGGGATTACAGGCATGACCCACTGCGCTCAGGCATAGCTTCTTTTTAAAATTTTTTAGAGACAGGATCTTGGTCTGTCACACAGGTTAGAGTACAATAATACAATCATAGCTCACTGCAGTGTAGAACTCCTGGGTTCAAGTTATTCTCCTGCCTCATCCTCCTGAGTAGCTATGACTACAGGTGCATACTTTCATGCCCACTATTTTATTTTATTTTATTTTTTTGAGATGGAGTCTCACTCTCTTACTCAGGCTGGAGTGCAGTGGTGTGATTTTGTCTCACTGCAACCTCTACCACCTGGGTTCAAGCAATTCTCCTGCCTCAGCCTTCCAAGTAGTTGAGATTACAGGCATGCGCCACCATGCCCAGCTAATTTTTTTGGATTTTTAGTAGAGACAGGGTTCGACTATATTGGCCAGGCTGGTCACAAATTCCTCACCTTGTGATCTGCCTGCCTTGGACTCCCAAAGTGCTGGGAACCACCGCACCCGGCCCACGCCCACTAATTTAAAAATTTTTTTTGTAGGATGGGACCATGCTATGTTGTCCAGGCTGGTCTTGAATTCCTGGCCTTAAGTAATCCTCTAACCTCGACCTTCTAGCGTTCTGGGATTACAGGTGTGACCCACCATGCCTGGCTCTTAAGTTTCTTAAAAACTATATTGTTAGGCTGGGTGCTGTGGCTCACACCTGTAATCCCAGCACTTTGGGAGGCTGAGGTGGGTAGATCACATGAGGTCAGGAGTTTGAAACCAGTCTGGCCACCAGCCTGGCCAACATGGTGAAATCCCATCTCTACTAAAAATACAAAAATTAGCCAGGCATAGTGATGCGTTCCTGTAGTCCCAGCTACTTGGGAGGCTGAGGCAGGAGAATCGTTTGGACCCAGGAGGCAGAGGTTGCAGTGAGCCGAGATCACGCCACTGCACTCCCGCCTGAGTGACAGAGTGAGACTCTGTCTCAAAAAAAAACCAAAACCAAAACCAAAAACCAAAAACCCCAAAAACCATATTGTCAGACTAAATGGTTTCCTGAGTACCACCTTAGATCCTTCTGATATTAGCAAAGCATGTTACACTCAATCTTGGCTTTGTCTTTATACCATGTTTCCTGAGAGTGCCCAGGATTTGATATTTGCCCAGAAGCTATTTTAAAAATTCAACATCATTTACTGTCTGCAAAGGCTGAGAATTTTAAAATCCAACAATTCCTAGCTCTTTTTTTTTTTTTTTTTTCCCCTTTTGAGACGGAGTCTCAATCTGTCGCCAGGCTGGAATGCAATAGCAAGATCTTGGCTCACGGCAACATCTGCCTCCTGGGTTCAAGCAATTCTCTTGCCTCAGCCTCCCAAGTAGTTGGGACTACAGGTGAGCGCCACCATGCCAGCTAATTTTTGTATTTTTAGTAGGACGGGGTTTTACCATGTTGGCCAGGATGGTCTTGATCTCTTGACCTTGTGATCTGCTCGCCTTGGCCTCCCAAAGTGCTGGGATTACAGGTATGAGCCACTGTGCCTGGTCTCCTGGCTCTTTTTAAGTGTTTTTTTTTTTTTTTTTTCCCTAGCTATCTCTCTCATACTTTACTATAAGCAGCAAAGAAGAAACCAGGTGTTAACTTCAACACTCTCCCTGAAAATCTCTTAGCTAGATTTCCCATTCATTAATTACATTTTTTACTTTCCTTGTTACTACACACTAACTACAGTTGCTAAACTTGCTGAATAACGAGAATCCTCTTTCTTACAGTTTCAAAACACATTTTCCTCAGTTTCCTTTAAGTCTTCACTGGCCACCACTTCAAAGGCCATCATGGCTGGGTATGGTGGCTTGTGCCTATAATCTCAGTGACTTAGGATCAGTTGAGGCCAGGAATTTGAATTCAGCCTGGGCAACATAGTGAGACCCTGTCTTAAAAAAAAAAAAAAAAAAAAGGCCACTATGGTTCTACTAACTGTCACTTCCAGGCATTTTAGACTTTCACTAACACTCTTCTCAAAGTCTTTCCGGTTTCTGCCCTTTGCCTAATTTCAAAGTCATTCTTACATTTTAGGGGTTTGTCACAGCACTCCACTTTTAGTGCCCAAACCTATTAGTTATCTATTGCTGAATGAGAAATCATCCCAAAATTTCACAGCTTAAAATATAAAATAAACATTTATTGTAATCATTTTATATTGGTCAGGAATTTGAAAGTGACTTACCTAGATGACCCTGGCTCAGGGACTCTCATTAGGTTGCAGTCAAGATGTTGGCCAGGGGCCGGGCACGGTGGCTCAATCCTGTAATCCTAGCACTTTGGGAGGCCGAGACGGGCGGATAACGAGGTCAGGAGATCGAGACTATCCTGGCTAACACGGTGAAACCCCGTCTCTACTAAAAAGTACAAAAAACTAGGCAGGCGAGGTGGCGAGCGCCTGTAGTCCCAGCTACTCGGGAGGCTGAGCCAGGAGAATGGCGTAAACCCGGGAGGCGGAGCTTGCAGTGAGCAGAGATCCAGCCACCGCACTCCAGCCTGGGTGACAGAGCGAGACTCCGTCTCAAAAAAAAAAAAAAAAAAAAAAAAGATGTTGGCCAGGACAGCAATCATCTGAAGGTTTGACCATGGCTGGAGGATCTGCCTCCAAGATGGCCCACTCATATGCCTGGCAAGTTCATGCTGGCTGTTGGCAAGGAGGCCTCAGTTCCTTACCTGTGGACCTCTCTATAGGACTTCTTGAGTGTCCTGCAACATGGCAGCTAGCTTTCTTCAAAACGAGTGATCCAAAAGACAGCAAAATATATTTTTTATTTTAGAGTTCAGATTTTTATATAATGTCTTTTATTGCTTATTACTCTTGGAAGTCACACACTGTCACTGCTGCCAGACTGTATTAGATAAATAAGTCACTGGCCAGGCAGGGTGGCTCACGCCTGTTATCCCAGCACGTTGGGAGGCCGAGGCAGGTAGATCACCTGAGGTCAGGAGTTCAAGACCAGCCTGGTCAACATGGTC